AGCATGTTGTTATAGTGATGGAAAGATGACTATCACAAGGACTTTGCTCAAAGTAAAGTAAAGGGTCACTACTACATGGAATGATTAATGTGCAGCCATTAGGTGCCCTTTACTCAGAGTAACTAGTTATCTATTTAAAACGGAAACTACTAGAAAAGAGTGGACCATCAGTCAGAAATTTAGTGGCAAATGAAACCACTTGACATCACTTAAGCAGAAGAGATTTATTAGTGGCTACTTGGAAATCCACAGAAAGCCTGGGAGGATGAAATTATGGCTCCAGAAAAATCTTCCAATCATACCAGAGAACTGCACTGGGGAGAAACAGCTGCTGGATGGCCAGGGAGATACCAGCTCAGTACACCCATAGTGTCTGGAGGTCACCTGTAGAACCTCTACCTCTAATACCACTAAAACTGCGACCATCGTGAGTGTATTTTATGGCCCCTCCTTGGTGTCACTAGCCTCCAAAAAAATTCTAGCATCTATGATTAATGGAACCCGATTAATGTAGTGCTGAGTCTGAATCTCAGCTATTTAAGAAGTTGAAAAGACAAGTTTGAGGCCTTTGTCTTGGGTTGGCTGGGCCTAAAAGGTAGAACATTCCCCAAACTGGGTTAAGTATGTAAACTAAGGGTATCTACACTATTGAAGAATAAAATTAATTTCAGCATTGTCCTGATGTTGACAGGAAAAAGAAAGGGAAAATGATAGGTAACTTGTAAGCTCTGTTGTTCATTTAGTCTTTCAAGCAAAAAAAAAAAGTCATTGCCACTTGGTCTTTCCTTACCTCTCATGACTTTTTTGTTTTGTTTTGCTTTGGTTGTTTTATTTTGTGTCTTTTTGAGACAGGGTTTCTCTATGTAGTTCACACTGGCCTTCAACTCATTTTGTAGCCCAGGCTGGCTTCAATCTTGCAGTGATCCTCCTGCTTCAGGCTCCCAAGTGGTGGGCTTACAGTTGTGGGCCACCACACCCAGCCACTGCTCATGTTAAATATTACCATTTTTACTCTTCCTACTTTTCTAGTGTCTGACTCCTCCCCACCCCCTCTTCCCTGGTTTAGACTCTTATCATTTCTCACCAGGACTGCTGAAACAGTTGTGATGGGTTAAGCTTATCAACTTAATTGGTTTGGGAGCCACCTGGGGGATTAGTAAAGCACACTTCTGGGTATATCTGGTGGGTCTCAGGGGAATGAACATGGGAAACATTTCTAGTTCCTGGTCCCATTTTCTCTGGCATTATCCCCCTGCTCTGGTTCTCGGGTTGCCAAGAAGTGAGCAGTTTTGGTACATTCTTCTGCCATAATGTTCATGCCTTGGAGCCAGACAACCATGGACTGAATCCTCCAAAACCATGCAGCATGTTAAATTGTCTCCTCCTTTAAGTTGTGGATATCAGGTATTGTGTCCCAGAGATGAAAACTGATTCACTTATCAGGTCTCCTCACCTTTAGCTTGATTCTTAATATTACTCCAAGAACAGTGTTTGTGAAACATTAGGCTGATCATATCACACCTATATTCAGGGAGTTTGATAGCAGGATAATTTACCAAGTTCTGGCTGGGGGTACAGCTCAGTGGCTTAAGCACTTATCTGGCAAGCCTGAGGTCAGGAGTTCGATTGCTAGTAAAAAAAAAGAAACAAAAACAAAAACAAAGTTCTTCCTTACTTGGCCCTATTGACCTTCTTACTTCCTTTCCTGCCATATCCTTTATATACCCTTCTATAGAGGCCATGTAGCTCAATCACAAGAACCTTATATAATAGGCTTTCAGTAAATACTTCCTTAATGAGTGAATAAACAAAGGGTGAGTATCAAGACTGAGACTTTCTCTAAATTCATTGAACTCAACATAACTTTGTATGCACTGAAACTGGGGGATGGAATTTCCAGAGCTAGAAGAAACTAAAGGAGTAAGGGCTACTGCAGTAGTTTTGCTGGTCAGGGAAGCCTGACTGACATGGAGACAACTGAACAGAAACTTGAACAATTGGACACAACAGAGTGAGCCAAAAGTCTCTTGGGAAGAGCTTCCAGAGCCTCTCTCCTCCTGCTGACCCTTCCTCTAGCAGCTAACTAATTAAGACACAAAAACATGTCTTATCCTCACATCCAGAACGCCTTTTAGAGGTTTGTTTTCATTTCCAATGAAATTTAGATACCAAGGGGAGATTGATGCTTCTGTAATTAAGTTGACCTGAAAACCCCCTCTCAATGTCCTATGGCAGTCCAAAGGCTCCCTTCCATCTCTTCCTGGGGGTTTATAACATTCCTAAGATAACTAGATCTGCATCTTATTTCCATATACCTGTGGTCTCTAAATTGACCCAGGTATAAAATAAAGTCCCTTTCTACAAATGCCTCCTCACACACCCACAGGGACAAATATATAGAGCCACTAACAATGATTTTTTAAATTTGGATTTTAATGACTGAGAAATTTGCATAGAGAAGGCCAACATTATCTGCCTGACTAGAGAGTAACAAACAAATGGCGTTACACGTACGAGCTTTCCTATTTAGAACGTTTTCTGGCCAGCCTCCTCCAGAGATTCTCCGCTGGCCCTTCACCCCACAGGGTACTTCATACCATCTTCAGAGCTTTTCTCACCATCCCATCTTTCTTTCCCCTTTCCTTAACTCCTGCAGAGCAGTTTGCCCAGAATCTTTTAGTGCCTTGCTTCCTGCTCTCTGGATTCACATGCTACCCCAACAGATTCTCAAGATATTTCTACAAACATGTTAACCAGGAGCAAACTCAATGTAGCAACTGTTTGAGCCACTTTTTCATATCCTTACATCTGAGAACAGTGAATTATAATGTCATTTCTAACTCAAAGGAGCCATGAGGAGGGGCATTGAAGCCTGTCTTAGAGAAGCAGTCCAGAGCATAGCTTTGCAAGGAAGGGGAACAGGAATCAGCAGGGCAAGAAAGGAGATGACATAATTATGGATCTTGGCAAATGCAGCTAATAATGACCATGCATGTGGAGAGGTGAAGCCGGAGATTATGCTGAGACAGGAAGAGTTTTGTGCACCATCTATGAGGTTTTAATTGCATTCAGAAAGCAATGCGGATCCAGTGAAAGATTTTGAAAGGTGACACAAATAGATTTGTACTTTTTTACCTTTTAAAAATGCCTGCAAGTTCTCCCTTAAGGATGGGTAGATTATAAAGGGGAAAGAGTATGGAGGCAGAGTGCCTATGGCTCGAGAAGGGAAATTGCAGGTTCAGCGTGCTGGCCTCAGAAATGAGAAGAAGGCACTGTGTAGAGCTATGCAGGGGTAGACTGGACGCAACCTGGGGATTGATTGGTGTGGGGAGGCAAAGGATTGAAAAGATACAAGGGTCACAGCGAGAATTCCAGGATGAGGACTGCAGGTTTCCAGCTGGGCAGCTGGTGGGTAGTATGACCATCTACTGGGAGGTGGGTGCAGGAAAAAACCAGAGGCTTGGGGAAACTGGTGGATTGATTCCCTCTAGTCTGCTTGTGCTGCCAATAGCGACTTGATGGGCTCCAGGCTGGCAAAGTATTTGTCCCTCCCCCATGCATATCAGCTGCAGGAGGGACTCTCCCTGAGCCCTGTGCCAGCTGCAGCTGGGTATCCATTGAGCACTTCCTGTCCTTGCTGATAGCTGCTGGTTTGTGGCCTCCCCACAGGGAGGGGAGCTGAAACAGTTGGGGCTGCAGCCAGAGAAGGAGGCAGCTGAGGCGAGTGAGGAAAGAAGACACAGAGGCACTGAGAGGAACTCAGAGCTGCTTAATGCCTGGGTGACTCCAGGCAATTCATTTACCCTTTCTGAGTCTCGATTCTCTATCTACAACTTGGTGATGGGGAAGAATACTTAATTTCAGATATGTGGTTTAAAGATCTCAGGTAAGGGGCTGGGAATTTAGCTCAGCGGCAAAAGTGCCTGCCTGGCAAGCGCAAGGTCGTGAGTTTGGTTCCCAGTACCGGAGAAAAACCAAAAAAACATAAATAAAAAATAAAAAAATAAAGATCTCAGGTAATACATGTGGAAATGGTTCTCAAAGGCCTGTAAGGGATTAGATAAACTAAGATTTCCCACTTTCCCCCAATTTCTCTCCTGGAAGATGCGGGGATGGGTCACAGACATGGTATTTAGAGAAGTTTCAGTTCACTTGGGTTGACTCAGAGCCCCTTTGTAGTAAAAATAGGCCCCAAGAAGAGAATGTACCGTGCTTTAATAATGTCAAGGTTAGTATTTCTCAGCACGTAGGATCAAAGTCATTTTAATTGGAGGAGTTTCACATTATACTAGACTGTTTGGTCTTTATAAGAAAATAGTTCTTCTACAGACCTTTGTTTTAAGACTAACCAAGAGAAAGAAGGGCTTATCATTACTGGCCGAGAAATCCAGCTGAAGTCTATTTCTCATACACACCCCTCCCATTTCCCGTTCATTATGGCCCCATCCCAACCCAAAAGAGGGTTCTCCCCATTCTGCGCCATGGGAAATGCTGCTCTCACTTTATGGACCAGGAAGCTGTGAGGAAGAGTCCCTGTAAGATGAATACCATAGAATTCAGCCAGTATATTACACAGTAAGGCGTCAAGGCCATGTCCGTCTAGGTATGAAGCCATAGTCCTTCCTGCCATACCAGCAGGTGAGCCAGATCCAGGCCTTTGGTTCCCTCCCATACTGGGCTCTCTCTGACTCCACTCCTCTCAAAACACCCTCCCTACCCTAACACACGTGTGCATGCACACACACACACACACACACACGTGCTGCTGCCACCGCTACTGCCATCACCACTAGCACCACCATACACAACACCCACGTTCCAATCCAACGACTGAAAATGCTCTTTGCTTAGGAAGTGTGACAACACCAAATTCATTCCTGGGCTGTGCTCCGTGCTGACTCAGAAGAGGAGGCACCCTGAGCTGTTCCTGTCAGGAAAGCTCCCAATGTGGTTAGCAGACTGTTCTAAAGGCATGTGATTATGACCTGAGCCCAAATGCATCAAGATTTAGAGTCTGGGATCCCTTCACAAAGTCCCAGCAGTCCTCCCTACTCCTGGGAAGTGGGTGCCTGGGAAGATGACACATTCACAGGATTTTCTAGGATGTCACATCTGAAGGCCCTTTGGGGAGAAGAAGCATGTTGGAAGTCCTGGGGCGATGGAAGAAAAGTAGCTTTCTGATGCCTCAATTATCTCCCATCTCCCTGCCTGGCTGCCTGCCATCCTGGGTGCTGGTTGAGACTCAGCTGCTGGAGACACTCAGTGCACTGCAAGAAGCCCGGAGGGTGACCGCTAGTAACCCAGCGGCACATGACAGTGGCCAGCTGCCAGCTGGCTCCCTCCCGAAGCCTCCCAGCTGGCAACAGCTCCAAAGTCAGACAAGCCACGGCTCCTGGGCTGTCTCAGGGGATGGTAAGTACAGCGCCTACATGCAAAACTGACTTCTACCACACACTAAGATGACAAAGTAGGTCTAGGCAGGACTTCCTAAAGGTCCGCAGGTCTCAGGCCAGCTGGTGCATCTAGAATATAAAAAAACAAAGCAAGCAAAACTTACCCCTCTGGCTAAATCAGATAGAACAATAGTTCACAAAGCCATTTCCTGTCCATTATGTCTGCATCCCAACCCAAAAAGGGATCTCCCCATTCAAGCCCTGAGCCGCAGGCTCAGCCGCTCTGCTCCTTAGTGACCGTCTTTGTAAAACAGAAAGAAGAGCACTTCTGTCACTTTCTAGCTCGTGCCCTTGGACAGTGTGTTTAATTTAATTTAATTGTCCTTCAATTTTCTCACTCTTCAAGTGAGGTTAAAAATAGAAGCAATCTCATGGGATAGGTGGGAAAATTAAATAAGTTAATTCACCTAGAAGCACTCATCACAATGGCTGGCTACATAGAAAGTGCTCAGCAAATGCTAGCAACTTTCACTAATTCTGTTGTTTTATGAATCACAGGAATGTTATGAGGGTTAGTAAAAGCAGCTAACACTTCTTGCACATTGACCATGTCTCTGGCACTGGGCTCATGTTTGTAGCAATTACCTCATGGGGAATGTTGAGAACTTGCTGAGTGCGAAACCTAGCACAGTCAATCATTACCCTTGTAATTCACTCCTCCCCAATCTACAGACAAGAAAATGGCTCAGAGGTTTAACGGTCTGCCCAAAGCCACCAAGCTAATAAGTACAGGGTACTTATAGTTGAATCCAGGTTTTCTGGGAAACAGATCTCTGTGATCTTATAACACTTACCTTCTCTTCCTCTTTTCTCTGCCTTTGGGCCTTTGTTATTTGCTTCATAACTAAAATGGGCTTCCCTTCAAGGAATTTTCTAGGAACACGTCTGCTCCATTTTGATAGGTCTGGGCTGTTCTGCGCACAGTTGTTTTCAGGCACTGCTCTGGGAAGGACCAAGCTTGCCTCTCAATGGCTTTTTTCAAGAGCTGGGAACGAGGTTCCAGCAGACACGATGAGTGAATGGGATAAGATGGGGTTAAAGATATTCCCAGGAACAGTCATGACCCCAACTCCAGCTTTGCATTCTATAGGAATGAGATGGGGTCATAGGTGATCCTGGGGCTCACAGATGGCCCCTTTTCCAGCTCTGCCCTTCTACTTGAATGTCCGTCTGTTGGGATCTGGGAGGAAATTCTCCCAGAAAAGAGTTCCAAGTTCTCCCTAAGTTGAGTAAACCCAGTCTACAACCAGCAACAATGAGCACATGGGGTGAGAAGTGTTTGCCTGAGTGTTGCAAGGTTTCGCTGAGGACATGACTTCTCCGCTGTGGGTAAATCACTTCCTCTCTCGAGGCCACAGTTTCCTTCTCTGTGACACTGAAACAGTAAGAGTCATCTGGTCAGGTTGCCCTGAGGACTGAATGAGAGAATGGGAGTCAAGAGCACAGGGCCCGGCACCCATCGCACAAGCAGGAGAGTTAGGGCATGAGCGGACAGATCAGTGAAATCCACCAGCCTGCAGCGCTCAGGTAGTTCACAGTGCAGTGAGAGTGACACAGGGGTAAGTGGGTGGAGAACAGAGGACGTACGCCCTAGACACTCACTGAGGAATACACACATGTGCCCAAAGCGGATGGCTCCAACCCAAAGAAGGACATTTTTTCCAGAGATCGCACAAAGCCCATAGAAGACAGAGAAGCTGTGTGGCAGAAGACACAAGGTTGTAGCCAGGGGAGACATGTGCAGGGAGGTGACAAGGCAGCGATGAAGCTGTCTTCACATCGGATGACCAAGTTTCCATGGACTTAGCTGGTCCTTCTCAAGAAACAGGCCCAAACTTGAGAGGGCCCCCCGGGAGCAGGGGTGGGCAGAGCTGCTCACAAGAGACAGTGGGTATGTCTCCAGAAACCTTGCCAACTGGCTGTTAAACATGGATATTATTAAAAATTATTTAACCTTAAATTAAGTAAATTATATTAAACTCAATGATAAACACTCAAAATTCCTCACTTTCTAGTTATTTTACCGTAATTCACCTCTGTCTATGTTTTAGTGTATCTGTGTGACAGAAATACTGTCTTGTGGTGTCTTGCTGTACCGTCTCTCCCCACGTCTAGGTTAAGTCATGTCACATTGTACCTTGAAATCATCTGTGGAGTGTTTCCACCCACAGGAAGTGGCAAACCTACAACTTGTCATCCCCTTCCTGCCCTGAGGGGAGTCACTTGTTAAGTGTTTACCAGACACCTGCAACAAAGAACCTCCCCATGTTTCAGTACCACCAAGAGAACTGGGTTTCATGAAACTTTGACTTGTGCTGTCTCATACTTAGGTTGCCTTGCTGATGAAATCTCCTGTAACTTTTCATTCAGAGTGCTCACAGAGCATTTCATTATAATCCCAGAAGTACTGAAAGGGCACATGCCTGCTGTGAATCATACAACATGACGTCTTCATAAAACATGCTGCTGGAGGGACGTTACCTAGGAAAAGACTAAAAGAAGATTATAGACTTATAGCCCCCTTTTTTTTTTTGTCCTCACCAACCTTCAGACTGCTCCTGCAAGTGTTCAGTTCAATTAATAAGTATTTCATGGCGCTACTGTCTAGGCGCTGGGCTACAGGGAGAAGAAAGAACACATGTACTCTTATCTACAACATGATAAGGGGCATGCTCCTTTTCATTACCCAATGAGGTCTACACTGACCTTTCCATTTTAGATTAGAAGTCCCTAACACTCCTAACTCCCCTTACTTTCTTGAAATAAAATTATACCTTACTGGGGCTGGGGGTTTAGCTCAGCGGCAAAGCGCCTGCCTGGCAAGTGCAAGGTCGTGAGTTCGGTTCCCGGTACCGGAGAAAAACCAAAAACAAAAACAAAAAAAACAAAAAAAAAAAATTATACCTTACTAAAATTTACAAATTTTTATTTTCAAAAGAGACTATAAAAAAGTGAAAAGACAACCTACAGAATGGGAGAAAATATTTACAGATCATGTCTCTGAAGGGTCTCACCCCCAAGTACATATATCCTTACAGCTCACCCATAAACACACAAATAATCCAGTTTGAAATGGCAAAGAATCTATGAAGAGATAGTTCTCCAAAGACAGATACAAGTGACCCGTGAACATGTGAAAAGATGCTTAGTCTTATTAGCCATCAGGGAAACAAAAACCATAACCACAAGGAGACATCATTCACACACGTTCAATTGGCTATAAAAAATAAGATTTGGTGAGGACATGGGGAAGTTTGGAATCGTTATGCATTGCCATTGGGAATGTATAGTGGGGCAGCCACTTTAGGAACATTTGCCCCTCCTCAAAATGTCAAACACAGAGTTGCAATGTGACCCAGCAATTCTATTCCTAGATAAATACTCAAGAGAACTGAAAATATGCTCACACAAAATTTTGTACCAAAATATTTATAGCAGCATTACATGTCCATCAAATATATTAACTAATGCATGGATAAATTGGATATATTGATACAAAAGAATATTAGTTATATGTAGAAATGAAGCACTGATAACACACTACAGCATGAATGAAGCCCCACATCATTACGCTAAGTGAAAAAAGCTGAGACACAAAAGGTCACATATTATATGATTGCATTTACCATTCCATTGACACAAAATATGCAGAACAGGCCAATTTCCTGATACAAAGATTTACTGTTGCATGAGTCTAGAGGTCGGGCGGAAGTGGGGAGTGACAAAAACGGATGTAAGGTTTCTTTCCAAGGTGATGAAAATGTTTTCAAATTGCGCCAGTGGTTGCACCAAGCTCCCTTTTATTTTCCCAGCAGCACTTGTCACTCTCTAACATGCTGCGGAATGTACTTAATCTTCATAATTACTTGCTGCCTCTTCTCTCTCTAGCATGTAAGTTCACAAGAGCCAGAATTTGGAGTTGGTTGGTTCTAATGCCCTCAGTAGTTCTCCGCACAATGTAAGCCATTAGTAAATATTTTAAAAATATTTATTCATAATATACTAGAAAGCATATTAAGGAAAATTTATAGTCAGCTGCAGAGATCTTTGAAGATATTGTTCCACCTCCCCCTCCAGTGCCATGCAGTTTGGCCCTATTTTGCCTTCTGTTTCTTGTGCTGTGGCATGTTATCAGCACTTCATTTCTATATATAACTAAATAACATTCTATTGTATAAATATATCCAATATATCCATGCATCAGTCAATACATTTAATGGACATTTAACACTGCTATAAATATTTGGGTACAAGAGACAATTTCCACAAGATTGTGTTTCCTTTCTCCAGACTTTACCTTGCTAGCTTTGACTATGCCTCTGTCCCTTACAACCAAAGGAGCCCAATTTAGAGACTGGGGTTAAAAGTGACCAACAGAATTGACTTGTCTTGTTCTAGGGACTCATGTTAATGGCTTGTGTGATTCTGTATTTGCTTATCTTTCTGCTCAGAGTTTTTATGGCCTTGTTTTATATAACTTCCTGGCAAGATCTGAACAAGAAGTAGCATCGCTTGGAATAGGAGGAGCAAGAAGCAATGTTTCACTCTCACTTCTGCCAGACACTGTGCTAAATGTACATTGCTTAGTCTTCCCTGCAAGCCTGTAAGGTAGGTATGGTCCATTTTTATAAACTAGAGCTCTCAGAAAAGTAATTCTTGTGTTTGCTTCTCTTCTCTTGAGAACTCTGAAATTCTACTGCAGTTCTCTAATTTCCAGTTTTGATTACAAAGTCCTATAGAATAGAAAATACAATGAATATATCAATAATTCTCTCCCCTATTCTAATCATTAGGAACCCTGTGGAGATTAAATCTATCCATGAAGGTGGCCTAACGAGTCCCAGCAGAGCTTAGATGTTGCCCAAGGATTCGGACAGTAGGAGTGGCTACTGTGCAGGGCCCATTCACTGAGCTTGACTTGGGATGGATGATTGGACGCTGAGACCATGAGACATGCAAAGTGACTCTGGCAAGGAGAATATCAATGCTCAGTGATCTGCCACCCCATTCTGCATAAGATGAATCATTTTCCATTCGGATGATGTCAACCTCCTGATGCCCTGCCTGCACACATCCTGGAAATAGAAACAAAGATGCGACTTTGAGAACAAATTAAATAAATATTCATTTTCATCCAGGACATGAAATGATTTGATTTTCAGTGGTAAGAGAAATCTCACCAACTTTCAGTCCCAGCCCACATTTCTTCTTTTTGTCTTGCTCATCTGGCTAACAATGAGTCTACTGAAGTCTCCATTTGCAGAATCAGCCTCCCTCCCACATCGCTTCCCACTTTTGACAAGAGCCGCGGGCATAATCAGTAGCCTCTGTGTTCCCTCCTGTCTTAGTCACTGGTGGAACAAAACATCCCAATATGACACCTTAAAGGAGCGGAGAGGTCTATTTTGGCTGACTTATTTTAGTCCATAGTTGGCTAGCTCCAAGGCAGGAATGTATGGTATACAGGCCTGGGCAGGAGAAAGCTACTTACTACAGTATGGTAGCCAGGAAACAGAGTAAAGGGAGGAGCCAGGGAGGGAGACCCTTCCAGGCCACACCCCCAGTGACCCACATCTTCAAATAAAGCCTCCCCTCTAACAGCACATTTACCCATAAACTTATCAGTGAACTAATGCACCCAGGAGTATAGCATCCCATTGGTATGTGAACGAGGTTTGGGAGGACATTATCAGTCTAAACCATAACACCTCCCTTGGTCTTGTGAAATTAACAACTATTCATATTAACAACTATTCAGATGCAAGCTCTGGTGTCTTAGCCTCAAAACCTGCGGGATCCCATGGCTCCCGCAACCAGAGACATGAACAGTTTAGGAATAATAATGCAGGCTCTGGAGATAGATTTGGAGTTAAATTTGGAGTTAAATTCTAACACTTGATCTTACATAGGGCCAGTCTATCAGGATGGGATAAGCAATGCAATAAAACTCAGCAATTTAAAGTAAAAGAGATTTATTTTTCATCACAATATATATCCAGTGTAGTTTAGTGGAAGCCAGTGATCCATAGTCACTCAAAGACCCAGGCTAAAGGAGGTTCCATCTTATGATGTCAGCATTACAACCTACAGTCTTCAGGGACACTAAGACCTAGATCATCCCTGGTTTTGGGGGTCTTTTGTTTGTGTGTGGTACTGGGGATTGAACTCATGGACTTGTGCATGCTAGGCAGGTACTGTACCACTGAGCTACATCCCCAACCGTGACACTAAGTCCTAGAAAAGAAGGGGGAAGGGTCAATGTTGAGTTTTAGCCATTTTATCTCAGAAATGACATAATGCTATTCCTGGTTGCTATCCATTGGCTGAAACTAATCATGTGATCCTGCCTATCTTTAAGGGTCTAAAAATAGAGATCTGAATTACCAGGAAATAAGAAAGAACTAGATATGGGTGAATAAATCTGCTACAACCAGGCACACAGTATATGACACTACTGTGTAATGACTATTTCCCTTGAAGCCCAACAGATCAAGGATCCATTGCTCTGCAGTTTGTGTCACACTCATCAGAAGACTCTATTCCCCCTCCTTCCTCACCCAAAATACCATCCACTGTGAAGTGGATTAGTTCACCAGGAAGGGCTTACACCCAGGACACTTCTACCTGATCAGTCTTACCCTGCTGTCCGGCCTGACTGTCTGCCTCCATCTCCAGGCTTGGTCCCTATTCTGACATGAAATCTGTCAGATTAGATCCAGCTCTTGCCAATTCTCATTAAGAGCAGTTAATCAACATTATTAGCAGTGGAGTCAGCTTGGACTTCAAGCTTTTTAGGGGCCAACAGGCAAAAATACAGGCACAATAAATGTACTGATGAAGATAAAATAAACTTCAACTGACTTAAGTTAGGGATTGGATATGTAGAAAAGAATTATGTGCAACAATGCTCATTGAAGCATTGCTTCTAATAACAAAACATAGGGAATAACCTAAATATCCAGCAAAGGGAGATGTTTATAAATGTGAATTGTGTGTATGATGGATGTGTTGGTTCTGCCTGTCCAGTTTGTCAGGATAACCACAAAGAGACTACCAGATAATTTACTATGAGAGAGTTCATGGGGAGTTTCCCTGGCCCTATAGGTCAAGTGTAGCCTGCTTTATTTTGTTTGCCCTATGATCACACTTTCCCAAGTGGATTTTTATGGGCTTATTTTGGAGCCTTTCTATGGGGATGCCTCATTAAGCAGTGGGGTCCAGCTTATTCAGAGTTGAATGGCTTTTTCCGGCTTATTGATCCCCAACCAAATTTGCTATGATTAGGGAAGCAGCTGGATCACCTCCCAGCTAGAGGTAGTTGTTACGCAACCTTTAAAAATGGTACTTACCAAAAGTTTTTTTAAGACATAGGAAAACACATAGAATATATGATATAAAAATTAGAAAGTTGAAACTATAGTCTGACACATGCTATAACATAGATGAACCTTGAAGATAGTATATTAAATGAAATAAAGCAATCAAAAGGGACAAATACTGTATGATTCCACTTTTATGGATTACTGAAGTAGTCAAATTCATAGAGACAGAAAGTAGACTGGGGGTTGCCAGGGACTAGGGTAGTTATTGTTCAAAGGTTATGTAGGTTCAGTTTTTCAAGATAAAGTTCTAGAGATGGATGGGAGTGGTTGTTGCACAATATGAGTGTGCTTAACACTTCTGAACTATACATTTAAAAATGATTGAAATGATAAGTTTTTTTCAGCTTATTTTAGCACAATTTTAAAATTCAAATCTCTAATGTCACCTCAAGTATGTCAATGTGGAGAGGGTATGTAGGTGTGGGTGTGGGTCTAGTGCTCTGCTTTTGGTAATGGGGATAAGATACTATCATTCCTTTCCAAATATTCTTTCATTAGCTAGTGCAAGGGTCATTTAACTTTCTAATTTTTATAACATACATTCTATGTGCTTTCCTACGTCTTAAAAGAACTTCTGGTAAGTACCATTTTTAAAGCCAAACCCAGACAAAGCCAGCTTTCCATCTGTTTTGAAAATAAGCTTGTACTGGAACACAGTGATGCCTGTTCTCTGATGTGTTGTCTCTGACTGCTGCTGTGTAACAGTGGCAGAGTGGAGTGGTTGCAGCAGAGACAATCTAGTCTATTCAAAGCCTGACATATTTACTATCTGACCTTTTACAGAAAGACAGCTGACCTCTGTCTGAGTGCACTAAGAGCACACATAGAGACCAGAAAAATGATCAAAAGTTTACTGTGAGTTCCAAACCGTATATTTTAAACCAGAGTCCATGGGTTTAAAGATTCCAGAGTTGACATTTTGTCCTCTATTTTTCTCAGAATTTTTAATATGCTCAGAGTATTTATTCTAGACTTGCAAAACACGCTATGGGGCTACCCTGAGCCCTGGGTGAGGAGACTAAAGAAAAAGGAGGTCTCCTTTTGGCTTCTGGAATTGCATTGCCCAAGACCGTCCTCTATTACCTGAAACTTGGACCATACCAGAAAGAAGCGGGATGTCACAATTGCAAACATACACATATTTTAAAAATCTGGAAGGATATATATCAATGAATTCACTGTGGTATTTTTAAATTATGGAATTGTGTATAATTTTTAAATTCTTATAAATTTTTGGTTTATGATTAACAACAATGAGTATACACTGCTTTTATAATAAGAAAAATGTTATCTTAAATTTCAAAACATTATTATGTTTAAAGGGGTAGGTTCAAACTGAGAGCAAATCATGCAGGAGACATTTTGACAGGGTCAGAAATCTGGGTAACCTTTGGCCAACCTACATTTGTTTTCCTGCCTGAAATTCTTCTCAGAAAGAACTGAAATCTGGCCAGCCCAATATTTTGCTGGTCTGCTCTGCCACATGACCCATAAATTGCATTTTCCCTGGTACTCCTGCTCCCCTGGGAATGCCTGTGTCCTCTAAAAGCAGCCTTGAAGCTGCCACATACTTTTTCTTTTCTCTATTTGGTCATAGGTTCTCTTTTCAAAGCCACAGAAGTTCGTTCTGCCGAACAATAAAAGTCAGACGTGGATTAGGCTCTGCTACTTAGCTGAGCCAGGATTTGTTATTAAACCTTTCATCTATAAAAGAGAAATAACCTAACCTGTAGAGGGAAATAATTTTTCATGGTCCTGCTATTGTCTTCCTCCTTCTCCAAAGAGAGCCAAATACTAACTGACTTGTACGCAGTTAGTGGGTCTTTTTGTTAATGAAGAGAAGGCTAGGTCTGAGGCTCACACACATGGTTTTCCTCCCCTGCTCTTCCTTCCCTGGGACAAGAGTAGTCAGAGAAGCAGGGCTTTCTACCACTCGGAAAGAGGCATAGCCACCTTACATCCCTCCTTTGATTTCCTGCCAAGTAGCTGATCAGACAGTTGTGACACCTTAAGGTTTGAATTTAGGAAAACTAAAAAGGCGTTGAAAGCTGTCCCTTACCTACGAGTATTTCACAGGGATCTGTACAAGGTTTTTGGCATAAGCCTAGATATTTTCTTCATGCTATAAAACCAAGACATGCTTCTTATAAAGTTTCAAAGGAATCACTACTCTTTACAATGATAACCTCACTGGGGTATAAAGAAGACTCAGTGAAAGTGAATAGAATAAAGCAGCCAGATCCATAGTAGAGGCTTAATATGGGGGAACTTTATCTTTTCTTTTTCTCCTTCTCTTCTTTCGTCTTTATTCTTAACTCAGGGGGCCTTCTAATCAGCATAGCATTTATCATATGAAATTGTAAAAACACCTCATTTACTAAACTATGAAGGCCTCAGCCTACCTCTAATGATTCATATCCAATCTATTAGCAGATCCAGTTGGCTCAATTTATAACCATCATTTAATTACTTATCACCTTCACTGCAACAATACTGCCCCAAACCAGAGTCTTCTCCAGAGTCTCTTTTGCAAGCAAAATCTAAGGTGACATGTGACCACTGATCCTGATATTTCAATTCTTTTTTTTGTTTTTCTCTGGTACCGGGAACCGAACTCACGACCTTACGCTTGCCAGGCAGGCGCTTTTGCCGCTGAGCTAAATCCCCAGCCCCCTGATGTTTCAATTTCATTGGATTAAGAAACCCCTAACAGCTAAGAAAAGCACACTCCTGGGGACAGGTTATG